GAAGAATATTTTCAACTCTGCTCCTGAGAGAAGTAAGATAATATATGAGATAACTGGAGATCATAAAAGCATCTTCTCTACTTAACCCACAGGATTTTTATGAGAATCATATGGGTATTGTATGTGAAACAGTTTCATAATCTATCAAGGACAACATGATATTAGTTTTTACTATGGTTTAATTTGGGATCATGGCCATTTCAGTTTTCTCAAGCTTCTTTCTCTTTGAAGGGCGGAAGCTATACTTCATCCAGGTCTTTTGGGGGCTTTAATTTTATTTAGATGGCAGAGAATTTATCAAAATCAGGAAACAGTTTGGGCAAAATCATTTTTTTTTTTTTTAACTGTGTAGGACAAGCTCACAGCAGTCTAGGTTGAAATCATAGGATAAATTCATCACATTTAAAATTTCTTGCTCACCACCTATCCTACCAGATTATAAACTCTCCAGGAGCAGGGATCTTTTCTTTGTGGTTCCCCCACCCAACAAAGTGCCTGGAACTTACTCATTGGTCAATAAATAGTTATCTCAAATAAAGTAATGAATGCAGTATTTTCCATTTTTTCAGGAAAAAAATTTTCAGGTGGGTTTCATTTTACTTGAAAAAATGACCTTCTCCAGAGTAGAACTCTACAGTTAGTTACCTTTACATGACCAACGTGTGGCACAGTAATTGGTACAGAGTAACAGCTCAGGAAACCTTGAATAAATGAATGAGTCAAAGAATATCTTGTCCCAACTGGGGTGTTAGATGCCACCAGTGGGTTTAAACAGAGAGCAGTGTGATCCATACTCAAAGTTCTTGCAACATGACATCACTGTAATTTTGGTGTGAGACCAAAGAGAGACGTTTTTAGTCCCCAACCTTAGGCCTGACCTCCTAGGTGAACTACTGGCCTGAGAAAAAATAAGCTTGGCTATCATGTCACATTATCCTGGGAAAGTCACTTAACCTCAGGCTTCTGTTTTCATTTTAAGAACATGTGAGTAGCACATCTGTTCAAATACTGTTTGAGGGCTGCCAAAGGCTGAGCTTCCAACAAGAAAGATGCCATTGTCATGACCTGCTCTTACCCATGGATGGGAAACCAGGTTCAGTTGAATGAATAGAAGACTTTCTTAATGTAAGTTACACATAAATAGCCAATTTTCAGAGAATGATAATACTTTCTTCTACACAAAAGCCCATTTTGCCACTTGCTAATTCTGTAGCTTTGGAACCTCAGCCTTTCTAGGCTTCTGTTTCTTCCTTTGCAAAACGGGGATGGTAACAGCATCTATCTTAGTGGGCAGGGTCAGCAAACATTTCTGTAAAATGCCATCTAGCAAATATTCTGGCTTTGCGGGTCTTCTGTTTTCTACTGGACCCGCTGCCCTCTATAGTGAGAAAGCAGCCAGAGATGATACATACACGAATAGGAACATGGCTGTGTTCCAGTACAAGTTTATTGATGGATACTGAAATCTGCATTTTTATTAACATCACAGGATAAAAAATATTAAAAAAATTTTTTTTCAACCACGTAAAAACCATACTTAGCTAGGGGACTATATAAAAACAGGTGGTATGTTGGACTTGGCCCTTGGGCCATAGTTTGTCACTCACTGCTACAGAGGTTCTGTGACACTCAAAGTCATAGTGAGGGCTCAATAAATGTTAGCTATTTTCAGCCTTATGACTATCAGTTATTTACGTGGAAAAACAAACACAATTCAAAATTATAGATGAAGTATGATGATAACTAGAAAGGTATAAAAAGAAATATGCTGACATGCTCCCAGTTAGGATGCTGGGAGAGTAAGATCCAGCTTAAGATGTTTCTTATTTTAAGAATAAGACATAAAAATTACATTATAATGAAAACATAATTTAAATAAAAAAGATCCAGCCCTAAAAACAGTTAACAATAATTATACTGAATATAAATTCAATCTTCCTTTCGTAATTCAGAAGGCACCTGGGATATGCATTATGTCCAGGGATCAGTGTTAGAACCAGTTAATACTGTAAAACGATGTAGACATAGAAACCAAGACTGGAGGGCTGAATCTATACCGATTTTTCACCACACCCAAGAAGTGGCTTCCCTGGTAGGTCTACCTCCTACTCTTCTTTGCCTTCCTTATCAGTATTTTTACTGCTATAAGGCAAATAAATCCACAACCTAACAAGAGAGACAGGCAAGAAACCAGTCAAATACAGTAGCGTGTAGAAGAGAAAAGCAGCAGGAACAGAAAGGAAGAACATCCAAATGGAAGTGGAAGTGGTTGTAGTTGAGTGGTTTGGAGAAAGCTTCCTAGAAAGGTTGAGTTGGAGCTAAATCCAGGAGAAGGAGGAGAATGAAGCCAGAGTGTAACAAGAACATTCCAGACAAGGGTACCCTTGAAAAGGCAACATGGGGCAATGGCTGGAGGCAAGACAGAGCATTGAAGGATTATAAATGTGGAAGTTGAGTATGGCCAGAGAGTAGGACACAAGCAGGATAGTGGAGAACACAGCGGTTGAGAAGTAGGCAAAGATCTCTGACCCTATAAGCCTTACTCATGATTTAGGACTCTATCCTATTCACTAAATTGTTTCTTGACCATAAACCTCAGTTATTTCATGGTAAAATGGTGAGAATGAGGTCTACCTAGTAGGATTAATGCTGGGGCTATTAAATGAGATGATATATTTGGTCCTCAGTGTATTTCAGGATAAGTTTTATCTATTGAAATTGATCTAGTAAAAAAATTGTTTTTGCCACTTCAGAAAACAGTGTGGAGATTCCTTAAGAAATTAAAAATAGAGCTACCCTATGACCTTGCAATTGCACTACTGGGTATTTACTCCAAAGATACAGATGTAATGAAAAGAAGGGCCATCTATACCCCAATGTTCATAGCAGCAATGGCCACAGTTGCCAAACTGTGGAAAGAACCAAGATGCCCTTCAACAGACGAATGGATAAAGAAGATATGGTCCATATATACAATAGAGTATTATGCCTCCATCAGAAAGGATGAATACCCAACTTTTGCATCAGCATGAACGGGACTGGAGGAGATTATGCTGAGTGAAATAAGTCAAGCAGAGAGAGTCAAGTATCATACGCTTTCACTTACTTGTGGAACATAAGGAATAATACAGAGGACATTGGGAGATGGAGAGGAGAAGTGAGATGGGTGAAGTCAGAGGGGGAGACACACCATGAGAGACTGTGGACTCTGAGAAAAAATTGTTTTTAAATAACTTTCAAAAGAAAGGTATATGTTTTTTCCACGAAACTCTGCAATTTCAAAACAATGCCTCCATTTGATAGCCACTGAAATTTCAGAATTTTTCTGCTGGTCAAAGACTCATTTCATGTAGGAGAACCACTCACAAAGTCTGGTCCCAGACAGTGCTGAAGACCTTGAAAGTAAGTTGGCAGCCTCCCAAATGACCTCTGTACTGTAAGGGCACTTGGAAGCTGGTCATTCGTTTTCTAAGAAAAAAAAAATTCAAATAGAGAGTCCATTCTGAGTGTTCTGAGAGTCTGAATTTCTAACTTTGAAATACATCAATGAAATGATCTCTTAACTGTATTTGTCAGTGAAAAATGTATCCTCCTGTGTTGGTAACACGATTTCTGTATTTTTGTTACTTTTAATTTGTATTTATATTTCATCAATTAAAAATGGATGCTCTCTAATTATTCAAATTTGGCCATGTTCTGCTTCTATACGACTTTCTAATTTGCTTTGAAAGGCAAGATGTAAATGAAAAGGATGCAAGTAGGAATGACAGTTTCATCTTCAGACGAGAGCAGTTTCTCTTTAAATCACAAAATGTCAGGCTATTAATACAAATTTCTTTTGGAAAAACTTGAATTTAAGCTAACAAATATTTTAAAATAAACTTAAATAGAACTTTTACCTTGAAATATTGGAAATAGAGGCCAAAATGGCTTAGCATCAGAAGCAAAAGTTGCAGAGGTTAATTTTTCTCCCAGCTTTAGCTCTGACCTTGGCTAGGACTGCTACTCCTTTACATTTTCTATCTGTAAAAGGGTTGGAAAGTTGAATTTTAAGTTGAATATAACACACTCTGAGAGTAGAAAGTAGGAAGATTGGGTTTCAGAATTATAATGTAAATCTATTTTAGTTTTTCTGGTCTCTGCTCTGTAGGACACACCAGCTCCTGCCGCCCATCCTTGCACACCCTTCAATACCACGGAAATTGTTAAGAAGGAAAGCTTATTATGTAAGTTTATTAACCTCTGCATTAGATAATTTGTTTTGTTTTCTTTCCAATGGCAATCAAAAAGAAATGTCATGCGAGTATTAAAAATTAATTAATATTTTCAAGAGAGCAAATACAGTATGTAGCAAGAGCCAAAAATGTACTTACTACCTTTAACCCACTATTATATTTCCAGAAAGAAAATAAGCAGAAACTTATTATATAGTGAAAAAGAAAAAAAAAGTGGAAACAAACTTAAAATGCCCAAGAATTGGGACATGGTTAACTAACCCAGACTTATAAGCAGACAAAATATTATGCAGCCATTTAAAAGGTTATGGGGAAAGCTATTGAAAATATATTACAAAATTTGTATAAAATAATGCTAAATGTCATATATATATATATATACATATATATATATCCCCTATAGAGAGAGAAAGATTATAAAATGCAAAATCTATGCATTTATGTGATATTGAGTAGAAGAATTCAGGAGACACGTAAGAAGAAGCTGGTCTACACTGCATATGGTATTTATTTTGGGTAGATGATTTTTTGGGGGGTGCTCTTTGAAATAGTACAAAATGCTGCTGGAATCAACATACCACTTAGATTTTCTCACTCTCTTTTTCTTTCGTTTTAAAAATATAGCCCCAAAAGATGACTCAAAATGTTGTACTTGCCCATCTTCTCCCTTTTTATGTCCCAAAGGAAAATTTTTTTCTTCTGATAAGAAGTATGCACTGGTTATTCAATAATTGAATTTAGGTCATTAGACATTCGGTTACTCACTTTTTGGTGTACCCATGAAGTTCCTTCTGCCGGAATTCACGACCACTTAGAGAAGACACACTCCCTCTTTTCCTTACTGAATGAGTCATTCTGTCTTTAGCAATGTCTGACATCATCATAACCTCGGGAAAATAACTTCTGTAAAATAGCAGATGAACGATCTGAAAACATTTTGGTTAATATAACACAGAGACTCATTCTAGATTAAAAAACACAGATCATTCTTCTACCATTTGTACGGTTTCCTTAATAGTGATTTTTAGTAGATGCTGTTATTCTGGTCAGTATAATTGAAAACATGATAACTCTGATAACTTCCATCTGTGCAATACATAATTCACATAAGCAGATATTAAACTGCAGCAAAATGCTTAAGAGCAGAAGAGGTTAAGTCACTGAGAAAAGACAGCCTTGTGTAGAAGATGTAATTCACACCCAAAAGCAATATTATTTATTCCCCTCAAATTAATCTTGATTACAACTTGCTAATTAATATTTGTTGTTGTTGCTTTACTTTAAAAGTTAAAATTGTCTTCCTCAGAGAATATTTTTTTCAAGCAACAGTGACTGACTTTGCAAAGAGCTCTAAGAACTTAACATGTAATAAAGTATTTTATTAGAAAACCTACTTCCTTCTCCTCAATGCTTGCCAAAAAAGCTGGTAGGAACGGACGATTCAGAATTTAGACTGTAAGTCTACTGCCCTATTGCCTACATACAAATTTAGATATTCATTTACATTATTTTACAATCTGTGAATCTGAGAGCACAAGGAAACACGGTGCTAGAAACTAAAACAGAGTCCCTGCCTTCAAGGAGTTGGCATTGAGTGGACAGGACAGACAAGGGCACAATCGCAAACCTCAGTGTGATCAGTGTCAGGGGAGAGAGAAGCAAAGGGTTCTGGAGGGCACACAGAATGGCAGAGGCATTGTGTGTTGGAAGAGAGGCAGTGAGGAGTGTGCGCCTATGTGTGTGTCTGTGCGTGAGTGCCCGTGGGTATGAGTATGTCCCCATAAGTGCATGAGGCTGTGTCTGAGTGTCTGTGTACATGGAAATAAGGGTGTGCCTATGTGTACCCGTGTGTGCACCTGTGTGTATGAATGATCACCCAGATGGGTGTGTGCCTGTGTGTCTGTGTGTGAGCCTTTGTGTGTGATGTGTCTGTGTCCTGAATGTATGTGTGCCTCTTGGTGTGTATGCTTTTGAGTATATTAGGGTCTATGAGTGTGAGTGTGTGTGTGTGTGTGTGTGTGCTTGAGTGTATGTTTATGCATAATGAGTGTGAGTGTCTACATGAGTGCGGCAGGACACTTTCAGCCTCATTAAGTGGGTCATTCAGGTTCTGATCCAAAGTGACACGGGTAGACCTTGGTATGCTCCCTGGTTTCCAAAGCTGCGCAGCAGGCCAGAGCTGGAAACTAGAAGTCCCCAGGGGAGTGGTCGCCCAGTGTCATCTGGCCTCAAGGGACCACTCAGGACTCACGCTGTTCCAGGAGCGGACCAAGCAGGCCAGCTCTGCACCTGGCATCAACCAAAAGCTCAGCCCTGCAGGAAGTCGGTGGTGGTGGGAGTGGTGGTGGGGGGTGGGGGTCGCTACCAAAGTCCAGGACTCATCTTGCAGTTCCCAAATTTGGGGCCACTGTTTCTATTTGTTGGGGGAGGTCTATTTGTTTGGGTGGGCGTCAGGGAGTTCATGGCCCAGGCAGGCAGGCCATTTCTTACCACAGGGCCCTCCCTCCTCAGCCCCCTGCAACCCTGGAACTTGCGGCGTCTTTCTCTTCTCCGCTCCCACCCCGCGGCGCTGCGGAGACCGCTCACTTACCTACAGCAGCGCTGGGACTGACACGGTGCTCCGCTGGGGGCCCCCGTAGACCTCCCGCTTGCTCACTGCGGGAGCGGGCGGCTCAGAACGGGTCTCGGTCCTCCAGGGTTTCCCTCTGCCTGCGGCCGCCCGCGCACTCCCCTTGTGCTCTGCGCCTGGTCTCCAGGGTGACCTCCTCAAACAGATCCCCCCACCCCCCTACCCCGGGAGACATAGTAGCTGCTTGGTCCTCTGAGCAGCCCTAAGGATGTCAGGATCTCAACGTGACCACCCAGAGGGCGCCGCCCTGAGCCTGATTGTGCCCTGGGGTGGCCGGGAGCTGGGGGGAACCGGTCATCCTGCAGCGAGGAGGCCTTCGGGGACTCAAGGCACAGCCCGGTGAGCCCTCATCCTGTTCCTTTTCCCTAAATGTCTGGGGCAGGGGTGGGAAGTACTGCGGTTTCCTGGGACAGGAAATCCCAAGTACAGAGAGAAAGCAGAGCTCCCTTTCCCTTTCCCAGACCCCAGACACTACTTCCCCCCACCCTGCTCCGTGGTGCAGAAGCTTGATCATAGGGGTAGTTACCGAGAGCTTATATTTACCAAATACTGGCAAACAGTTTTCGTTTTATTTAGTTGTCCCAACAACTCTGTCTGGGAAGGGTTGTTCTTCCTTTACAGATAGAGAAAATGGAGATTCTGCGATATTAAATAATACGCCCAGAGCCTTAAACGATATGTGGGGCGCGTGGGCTTATCTCCTGAGCATTGCAAACGGGGCTCTTTCGCTTTCTTTAACACCTCTCTTCCCAGCCTCTTAAAGTTTAGGAAGCTTTGAAATGGAGGCTGTTTGGCCCCGGAGGACCTACCCGAGATATCTAATAGGCCCTTCCTCCTTAATAATCAACCCAGGGCCCCTCCCCCAACCCAAAGCAAACAAATCCAAACCTTTAAAAGGACGCTTATGTAGTCAATTACTGGAGTTAGGAATAAAACAACGCCTCTAAGTCGCTGGCTCTGCACCTGTCCCTTGAAGGGCCCTCAGTGTAGTTAGCATTAGCTGACAAGAACAATACACTGGGATAACGACAGAGCCGGTAAGAGTTAGAACAGAGTTGCAGAAAGGGCACTGAAGTGTTCTGGCCCCATCCCAATCCCTATTCATAGAAAAATAAGAACAGGAAAGGACCATTTATTGACTATCTACTTCCTAGTAGGTAGGAACCATTAGGTGATTGGTAAAGATTATCTCATTTAATCTCTTCATTGACCGTATGATGAGGGATAGTAACTCCATTTTCTTAAAGATAAGGATGAAGAATCAAAGAGTAACATTCCCCTTTATAGTTAGATCACAGAGCTGGGATCTGTCCAACTCTAAAACCCTTGCTCTGTGCCCAACCTTTTTGTGTGCCTTGCTCACCGTAAACGGACAGTGAAATTTTCCAGAAATATGCGTCAAATTTCAAGAGACTGGTGATATAAAAGACGTTCACAACTCAGTTTATTTTTACATTTTTCATTTATTTTCCAGAAAAAAAAAATCACATTTTAATAACAACTTACTTTAGGTATTTCGTCTTGATCTCATGTATAATTAAAGTTTGTTCTGAAACGGGAACCCTAGTTGCAGTAATGTGTCATGATAAATCATTGCATATTCAGGATTTTGTGAAATGGGTGATTGGGAAAATTATGAAGGAAAAAACATTTGTAAAAATCATTATTTACAAAAAATGATATCCACACATTTTCTAACTCATAAGGCAAGTAATTTAAAATGTTCTCATGATTATCTTCAATAAATCAATACTACACATTCATGTCACCATTGCTCAACAGCGAGCTTTGCTGCAGTGAACCCCTGCTTCTTTTGCTGTTTTTTTTCTTGAGTACAGCACAGAAGTGGTAAAGCTTTCATCATAGACAAAGCAGTAACGGTTATGAGAATAAAAGTACTCTCTGTTGAATTACACATGTAGGAAAAAGAGCCAAGCATCGACATTTTAACTAGGTTTTAAAAAATATACTTGAGCATTTTAACCCACAATTTCTTTTATAAACATGTTATGCTCAAGGAATTCTGTGAAATTATGAACTCCATACAAGGTCATGAGGAAATTCAATTTACTGTCACTATAAAGATCATGGGGAGTTCTGAATATAGGAATAAAGGCTACCACCAACTCAAATTAAGGTATACACTAATAAGCATTTTTCTTAAGAAAGACAACTGACGGAATTTTATCACCTCTAGAAACACAGCAAAATTTCTCTGAGATTCTTTTCCTAGTTTTTCTGATTTTTAGAGTAAGAAAAAAAAAAGAATTCTACTTAGTAGGCATGATAATTAAAACTTGATCATTTCATTCATAGAGTTTTTTTCCTACACAAAGTGAAAAATTGAAAAAAAAGTATTTGTACATTGAAATCCAATAATATTCAAACAGTTAAAAAAAAAAAAAACCAGCTCTATAAAGGACTGCTTGGCCTATAGTGAAGCTCTGCTCAGAGATAAGATTAGCGTATCATCATACAAGTACCAACACTTGGCTTTTTCAAGAAAACATATTCAGGAGCAATTTTCCAACTCTCTTAGACTAAGAGAGAAGAAACAGAGACACAGATCAGACAGGAGCCAGTCTCTTTCATGCACTTCTATTTAACAAAGCAAGCATTCAATACTGAACTGCAAAGCCAATACAGTTATAAAAATGATCATCTTATCATCTCTTGCAAGGAAAAGAAAAAAATCTGGCTTTGGACCTTGGGAAGTGATCCCATTGGTAGTCATTTGGTGTATTATTAAAATAGTTTGAAGTAACGATACATGTATGAATAACAGTAAGCATTTGTTTTGTCAAAAAAAAAGGAGAGAAAATGTCAATGAAGTAACATACAACTGAACAAATGAGATAGAATTAACACTTGCATGATCTCATTCAATGGAATATTTAAAAATGATAAATGTCTTAATCATCTATCAAACCAATTCACAAACTCTGAATGAATTAAAAATTGAGCTATATTTAAAGAAATGTAAAGTGATCCAGCTATATTCTGAATCAGTTTGTCCAGGAATTTTTTAAAAGGAATTTTGCTGATTTTGTGTAAAAACAATTGATTTGCAAAATAAGGCATAACAAAAAAGAACTGTGAAATGTTCATTAATAGAGTGTAGGGTTCTGCAAAATCTTTGCTAAACAATATATCCCTCTCAGTTTAAAAAATGTTTTTCATATAGTTTCTAACAAGGTTATGTAAAAATGCAGTCAGTGTTCATTTATCATGATTCAGTTTCTTAAAACCACTTAA